GCAGGAGACTTAAATTATCAAGTCATGCTGAAGCACTGGACAAATGGAAAAATAGTGTTGGGGGAAGCAAATAGGAGTTAAAACCTGTTTACAAGTTAGATAGTGGGTGATATTTTTGTCATAGTATTTTGCATATGAAATATTCGCACTGCGAACCTGTAGTATCTTTGTTACCATTCTAGTATCTTGGATTTTTTCCCAAGTTGGTTTATCAACCAGGACAGGTTGGAGTAGTCCTTTAACTTCAGCATTTCAACCTTGACATCAGGTGACCACAGATTTTACTGGTGGGAGAATTAGAGGGGCAGTGGTTGTAAATAGCGATGCTGGATTATTTTAGGCAACTAGAGCATATTTAGCTCATCACAGTGTCCTATACAAGTGTTGGCAATAATAAAAAATAAAAATAAAAATAATAATTTTTAAAAGAAGATTAGTATAAAAAAAGCATAAAGTGTTATAAAACTCTGGGTATTCTCTCTCAAAAAGATGGCACTTAATTGTCCCTTTTGCACAAGTAAATGATGGAGCAAACCTTGAGGACCCTGTGAGGACCTCACTCCTGTTGGAGGGTGGAATTTGTTTCCCCTCATCAAGTCAGGGATTGTAAGGGTTAAGTAGACCCATGTGAGTTCCCTTGTTGCTTATTTCTCTGCCTCCTGTCGGTTATGAAAGCTCCAGCTCTCTGCTGAAAAGTGGCCTCTCTGCTAGAACAGAAGGACAGAGGATACTCTCACAGAGACTTGAATTGTCAGCTTGCAGTAGTTTGTCCAGCAGGTGTTAAGCACAGGTAGCAGAAAAGGGTAATGGAGAATGAAACTGAAGTTCCTCCATGTCTCTATCAGTCTTCTCTCCAAATTTGGGCATTCTGAAAGACTTGCTTCTTTCAGACTTTGGAAGCAACAGATGGTGAGAAAGCGGTGACCCTTTCTTACCTCCTAACTCGGGTGCCAGTGTTGGGGAGCATAGGGAAATGGGACATTTGAAGAAATGTCCCGAGTGCAGGGTGGCTTGTTGGTGCAATTTGGAAGTGTATACAACTCAGGAAGAGAAGGGGACCTGTATAGCCTAAGCAGCAAAATTGGCTTAGGGATGCATTAGCAAGAGCTCACAAAGTGGGGAGGCTTGGCTTTGAAAGCCTTTTCTTCTATAAGGATCTTGTCTTCTTTAAGTGCGGTGTTACTTGTTATAGAAGCAGTTTTGTTTTTTAAAGCCAGAACCCTTCCTATTCCTTTACTCCGCGCATGTGCTGTGCGCTGGCTCCCAAAGCGGCAGATCACTTTCAGTGCAGCCGTCACTCTGGTGTGACATATCCCTTTGGCTTCCACTTCTCATGCACAGCACTAAACATGGGTGACTTCTTAACAGGGAAGATTAGAGTAGCCAACTTCTGAGATTAGTATTCCCATGGCTGTGGGAGAAAGCATGCCACATTTGCCTAGCTTATCGAGTGGGCCACCAGCTTTTATTATTTCAGGGAGAATCGAACTGGAGCTTGCCTCTTGAACTGTTCAGGGCTAATTTGCTCTGAAGTTGCTTCCTGACTTATGTCTCAGGTAAGGAAGTGCTGTAATCAGTTCCCAAGCATTGTCAGTGTTGTGGTGGGGTGCTGAGGGAATGGTACCTTATCTTCTAAGCCTTCCCCCGGCTCAGTGGCTTCTTGCATTTAACACAGTTAACCTGAGTGTGCTACATGAAAACTCAGGTTAATTTTTTTAAATGGCTTAATATTAGAGGTAATTTTATTTGAGTTTACAGAGCAGCATTTTGGAAAGAATACCCTGAGCTGTTTGCACAGTTCATGACATATACTGGCAGAACTGCTCAAAACCCAGCATTTACTGCCATCACATACACAAAAAAAAAAAAAAAAAAAAAAACCCTTCATGAAAGAGAAATCGAGTCCCCCTGAGTGTCACTGTTTGCATATTAGCGCATTGGAGGGCCTCTGCCAAGTCCTCGCTGAGTGACTGCTGCAGATGCTCGTTCTCAAGTACGCCGAGGCAGCTCTTTAGTGCCAGTCTTCGGGGACAAACAATGGCACCTGTTCCGCACAGGAGAGCCGGCCAGTTCGTCCAGTCATGTATCTTTAATGAAGCTCTGGGGCAGATGGCAAAAAATGGCATCATCAACAACTTAGCACCGAGGAGACAAAAGGGGAAAGCGCCCATCCAACAATGCGCTGTTTTTACGAATGGGAAGAGGCCGAGTCTAAGTGTTTCTCGGGCATCTGCCGCAGTCTTGGTTTTTCGAAAGACCTGAGGAACATCTCGGCAATTAAAATTTCTGGGCATGTAGCCGATTTTATGAAGTACCTCAATCAACCTCTCCGCCCAGTTTCTTCCCCCTCAGTAAAATGAAAACCATAAAACAACAACAAAAAAAAGAGTCTGTACTGTATTTTATATTCATCTTACATCTTTAACAATTAAATGATCAGAGGATCAGTGACACTTGTACCTTTACTTCCTTTTTAATGCCCATTTGTGCTTTTCCTTTGATCTATGCAGAAAATAATGACCTCAACTATAAAATAATGTTGGGACCAACATTTAGTTATGATAGTAATATTTGATATGTGGCAGAGGGAAGGGTTGTTATGCAGTAGGAGCTTTTTTCAATCCTGCTAACTCTCCAAGTGTGAACTTGTACTCTGGATGTAAACCCCCTTTCATTATAGAAGCTATACACACACACACACACACACATATATATACATATATATATAGACTGAGGACCTGTTCTAACATTCAAAGGGGAATTTCAAGAAAGCATAGCAAACAGCCACCACACAGTGGTAATGCTCCACACTTAGGGAACAGCTATCGTTTGGGAGCCTTAAAAATCTCTTTGGACATGGTGGACTTGGTCCAGCTCTACAGGAGTTCACTGGGAAGAGGCCTGTGAAATGAGCRGTGTAGGATTTAGCCTTTTCTGTATGAGTTTCATATGATTTTTATGATACTGTAGTGCAGAGTGCTGTTCTGGCTCTGTATGCACCATTACTCTAAGCACAGCGTTCACTCTGATCTGGTCTCTGTTTTGGGGGTCTCTGTTGGTGTCTTGCAGATTTGCCACGAAAATATTTCTGGGGGGTGCGATTTGAAAGGAATATTTCTGAAACCATAGGCCCATTTCTTTAGACTGCAGTTGGGAGCTCCTGCAAATGTTTGCAAATACATTATGCTCAATTCTTTCAAAATCCTGCTGTTGTTTTATCAGACAAAGACTGCATTTTCATTTATCATATTGCCATAGACATGAAGATAGGAAACACTGTGCCACACAGCTAGCACCGTTTTGTCAGAGGTAAACGCTGGGCACATGGGGGCCAACTCCAATCTGACCAAGTTTAACTCATATCCTAATGGGCCCAGCCAGGCTTGGCTCAGCTCAAATGAAAGAAATCGCTGCTCAAAGCTGGTTTCTTTCACGCCCCAGTGCCATAGCAGTAATTGCTCAAAGACCTTTTTATTGTAAGTTGATTTTCCTGAGAAATGRATTCAAAAAATACTGTAAAGTGTTTATTTTTTGCTTGACCTTTATTAACCTACATCTTAGAGCTCTCTCAGGAGAAGAGTTGTTGGTAAATTAACCCTCATAGACACACACAGTAGCATTTCTGCTCTGTATCAATAGCTGTGAAGGGAATGGGGATATGACAAGAAAATTTGGCACTATTAAACAATGTCATAGGTCAACATATGGGATTTGGTCAGAAAAAGTTTTTAGAAATTAAAATGAAAAAATAGTTGCTTGAAGTTTAGTATAACTTTTTAATAGTGTTTAATACCACCAATTTATGGTAGAAGGGCAGTATTTTCTTCCGTCTAAACAAAAAACAAAACAAAACAAAAAAAACATTTCTTCTAACCTTCACTAGCTTTGAAATGTAAACCATTTTATGTTTACTTAATTGCTAATCAGAAAAAAATGTAATTCAAACCTTGGGTACTTCTGAAGTTAAGGAATGATGGATAAAAACTCTTTGTGATCCTGACCACTGTCCCTGAAACACATRTAGCAAAAGTAAAGGGACCTGGAAATTAAAATGGGGATTTAACAGACATGATTCTGTCACGTCTCTCGTTTTCTATATGTGAAATACAAATACTGATAGAAGGTGAAAAATTTTCTCCTCTTGCATGTTTGTGCTCTTTGATACATTTATTAAGGTCAAATTAAATTTGATGTAGTAGGTTTTATTTTGAAATGCTCTCTGAATACAACTCTGTAATTACTGAGCTACATGATAGTGCATAAAGCTATAAAACTGCTTAGACAAACAAGCAATTTATATGTTATACTGAGGTGTATATGGCAAAGGATGTTAGTTTAATTGGGAGCCAAGATGTTGTAGCCTTAAATCTTAAGAACTGGGGTGTTGTCTTGAAGGCTGTGTAATAGTGTGGCAAGATTTTGAAATAACATACCTGAGTTGTTACCATATATATATATATGAACAATACAGTATTGCAAGATCTGAGAATGAAAATTACCCTATAGATGCTAAGTATTTAACATCAAAGTATCTGTGACAGTATTGAGATACTTCTGAAACACTTTTCGCTCTACTTTCTCTGACCAAAGATCAGAAAACTTGTGAGAAATTAATAGAAATATATACTATTCTTATTTCAAAAGAATCAGTAATATATGAGAAAGATTTTGTATCTTTTTACCTTGTGCCAGGACAGGGAATATTGAGACAGAGAGACAGAGACAGAGAGAGAAAGAGAGAGAGAGAGAGAGAGACAGAGAGAGAGAGAAAACAATCGTGAAGGAGGAAAGTGTGCAGTTCTCTGCAACTGTTGCACCTTTGACACTGAGGGAAAACAATGTTAGCGAGGGCTTTGATGTGCTAATGTGCAGTTGGCAGGGATAACATTAAGGAGGAGGTTCTGTGGGACTGTGCAAACGCAAGAGCGCTATCAGTCCTGGAGAAATACCTGTCAAGACAAATTTGTGCTATTTCTGATCAGAGGCTTTCTTCTGTTTAGCAGGTTCAGGGTCACATGCCTCCGCTCATGATCCCAATTTTTCCACACGACCAGCGGACGTTGGCAGCGGCTGCTGCAGCCCAGCAGGGATTCCTCTTCCCCCCAGGAATAACTTACAAGCCAGGTAAGCTAACAGGGATATGAAGCTAGTTAACATTTTAGGATTATTAGCTGTAGCTTCTCGTGTGATCTATCTCATTGATGATGTTACACAACAGGAATAGTGGGTTGGAAATTCAAGTTTTGCAACTTCACTTGAAAAGAAACTTCCATTTTGAAGGAGATAGATGGAATATTGGTTATTGGATACATGAACTTTTTTACCTTTGCTTCTTGCAAAATTGTCTGCTCTAAACATATTGACCTGCTCTCTACTAATTTACATCTGCTCTGCACAGGGTCATTACACAAAAGCTACACATATCTTTTATTAATTCTCTTATCTTCAGTATGCTTGTCTTTTGTGCCAAACATCTTACTCTTAATTACTGATAAATGTCAGAGCAAGTATAATTTAATTAGCATACTTCAAATGGGCAACTTTTTGTTTGATTCCAATCAGAATAATAAAAGGTTTTGGTTAGCTCAATCCCAGTCATCACTGAGACTTGTAACAGGTCACACAACCTTTCAGTGAAATATGTTTTGAGATGATTTAGCAAATGTTATGATTTCTTTCTTTTTTTCCCCTGAGTTTACAGGACTCCTGGGGAATTCAATTAGGGATATAATGGTTTGAAGCTACTTTCAGAGCCTCCTTGTAAACAGGGCTTTAAATGTTTAAAGACATGTTGCCAAAGGAATTCAATGTAGGAAGATAGTTAAGTAAATAAAAGTCAGCCTTATTTTCATTTGTACATTCTTTGTAAGTGACCTCAGCCCAGAAGCAGCAACCTTATTTTGCTCATTAATAGTATTCCCTGTCAAGTTGCCTTTAGCGCATTAACCTGATAACTAATAGCTACAAAACACAAATACCCATTTCTTGTTTGACATTAAATATAAAATGTACAAAGTAAAGCATTGATCCTGCTCCCACTGATGTCAGTGGTGTTTTGCAGTTGTCTGCAGCAGGAGCAGGGTCAAACCCAAAGCAAAGTCTCATAACAGATGATGTAAACAGCATGCTAATTAAAAGCCAGGTTGAAACAAAAATCTCTTCTAGCAAGTTTACTTAATATTAGATGAAGTGAGGCCAAGCAGGATTTCAGCAAACATTTCCGTTTGTCCCACTCCATTCTGTCTCTTTAGTCTGGAGCCATTCCTCTCTCCTTGAAGGTAGAATCTGTGTCCGATCATTATCTTATTTTCAGTTTCAGAAACCCCAAAGTTCTTTTCCAATTTGACAAACTAGTGCACTATATGGAAGAAACAGCTAAGAGGGATCCTAAAGGCAGCCCGCTCTAGAGGGCACAGAATGATAGTTGTTCACACACATTAACCTACCACATTTAGGGGCCAAAACAAAGAATATTTTTGTCTCCAAAGACATGATCAGAATTGCCTATTATTGAACTTGTCCAGGATGCCCTGGCTAACACCTTTCCTTTTGCAGCAAGCAAAAGCATATGCTTTAGTTTGTTTGCTTCTGTCATTTTAATTTGAGATGCTTTTTAGTGACTGTTAATTGTTAAGCTTTCCCCAAAATATGATACCTGAAATCCCCTTGGGATGCTTGTAGCTCTGTAAATGCTTAGTACAATGAGGATTCAAGAAGAGCACCAGTATGAATTTCTGCACAGAAACAGATTTCTGTAGTAATTCCAAGGTGTTCTTGTAATATCTATCCTAACCCTTCACCAAGCTCACGGTGCTTTACCTCCAATCCTGTCAGCCTCATAGCAGATGGAAATGCAGGTTTAGGCAATTTGGAATGCAGAATGGGATTTGCATAACAAATGTTAGAAAACTGAACTATGGACAGAAATCAGGGCCTAGATGTCTCAGAACCCAGCTAATGGGAATGCAGCTAAGCTGTTTGCAGTACATTAGTGGTGAATATCCAGGTAGTGTTAGTAAAAAACAAAAGTGACTGTAATTCTATGATAGTCAGTTCAGCTTGCATGGAATGAGAATATTTATATTTTAATAAACACGTTAAGTTCTACAGTATGTGTTGCAAAGATAGCTGGATGGTTTAGTAGTTCTTGTTGAAGAGATAGCATGATTTAAAAAAAACAAATCTACACTTGGTATTGATTAAATCCTATTTTTGGCACTCTTGGCACAGTAGTTAAGGAATTAATGAAACTGGAGATTAAACTACCCTCTTTCATAGAGAGGGTTCTTCAAAGTCATTTCTGAGGAATATTTATGAACTGTAGCTACCTACACTCTTTCACTTTTGTGAAGGAACAAAACTTTCACCTCTAGAACTGTCATTTTAGACTTGCTACTTATAAAACCAGAGAGGAAAGAAAGGAGATGGATTAACCCTCCAGATACTTCCATTTTTATTTTTTGGCTGCCTATGTAGTCTGTCTTTTCATTTTAATCTAGTTTGACATAGGCAAGCCTGAATTTTGACAGTACCACTTTTCCTTGACATGCAGAAAATACAGTAAAATGGATTTCAATAAAAGGAGCTTTGGTAATTGAGCACTTTTGAGATCCTGTCTGTGTAGTTCAGGGATGCCCWGTGCTCATGTGCACAGTCATTTATTGGCTTTGCACATAAAAGCAGCTAGGTGTAAGCCAGCTCCAGCTTGTAACCTGAGAGTATCGGTACTACTCTAGGCAGGGTAAGTCCTGCTTTAAGGCATGAGTTGGTAGAATTATCTGTACATGCCCATGCTGGTGCATCTTCATTGCCCATGTGGGGAACAAGTAATGGCAGTTTAGTTCAGTGCGAAGGTGGAAGCTACTGAGAACTGTTGCAAAGCTGCCCTTAAATGACACAGCTTTAAGAAAGAAAATGGCTGTTCTTAAAACAAGCTATGCTAAGTTATGTCTTTAATAGCAGGAGGAGAGTTTAGGATCTGCTGCCCTTTCGGAACGTGAGCCCTTGAGATGTGAACTGAGCTCAGAAATGCCCAGCATAGAGAGCTGCTGGGAATTGCTAGCTGAAATTTCTATTAAAGTCCTCCAAAACAGCATTTCCTACTGCCTGTTGTCCCTACTTGGCAGGATCCATAGTATGAGGTGGCTACAGCACTCGCTCACATTTTGGAACTATAGCAGGTAAAACACGACCAAGTTAGCAAGCACTGATGACAAGTAATAATTGCATTTAAAAAAAAAAATCCCCAAAGTCCCATGCTTCCTTATGTATCTCAAAGTCATGTAATATAATTTTCCGGCATGGTAAGTACTAATTGAGAAATCAGAGCTGCATAGATCACCTAATTAATTTTTTATACATATTTCAGTATTTATACTGTATACTAGATTAATTAAAACTTTAGGGCGCCATGCATCTCAAATGACTGTTGTGACTATTGACCTGCAGGCGCTTGACGAGCCTTGCAGGATACCTGGTTGCAGGATTGCCCCTTACTCCAGTGGGAAGCGCTAGTGGCAGCTGGTAGGGAGCTAATACTTACCCAGAGATACCACACAGTTAATAGGACTATTTTGCATTCCAAGTAGAGCAGAGCGACTACTCCAGTTCTCTGCCTGTGACCACTCAGCTTACTAGCTGGAACTGGTGGAAAGCAGAAATGTCATTATATCTTATCTCCCTGTGCAGGTTGCCCTTCACTTAGCTGGCCTCATGCATCCAGGGCAAGTTAGTGGGCTGGAGCATCCTTGAATGTGATTAGTGTTGGAGCATCCTTGAATGTGATTAGTGTGTCCCCATTAGCCAACTGGCTCTGGAGGGGAGTGCTGTTTCTGGCTAGTGAGTGGGACAAGGCAGGAAGACAGTTCCCTCCCTCCATCTTGCAGTGCCTGAAGTATTCATTCCTTCAAGTTTTATGACTGTGATTGGCCAAAGAAGACAAGTGACAACTGCGGAAAGGTGTGGATGAGCACTGTGTAGGAGTTGGACTGTCTTCTGAGGAGCAAAGCTTCTGGGAGCAGCAGGGCCATTCTTCTTGCCCTCTGCGTAACAGCAGTCCTCATGGGATTTGGAAACTGGTGATGGGTTTTGCTGAATAGTCTTCTGAAAATATTCTGTGTTGTAACAGTCCTTTACCAGATGTGTAAAGTGACAATGAAAGAGATTATAAAAAAGTACAGAATTTGAAGTATGGAGATTTTGAGCCCCAATTTAAAGGTTTTTTTGGGGATGATACACTGCCATGTAGCTCTCAGCATTTATTTCTATTTCATGTATAGACCATGGTTAGAATGACTGAGAAATAACTTCTGTTTCCTTATCTAGACCATTTTGGTTTAGCTACACAAAGAATTTACGATAGATTTTGCTATGCTGGCGATATAATGAAATATGAAAGTGGAGATTATTTGCCTAAGTCAGTGACAAAAATAGTGAGAAATGAATATGAAGTTTTGGCCTGGTTCTCTTAGCTGCAGTGGGACGAATCAACAGTAACTACTCTGAGATCAAGGAAGAGAAACATACATAGCACATGGCAAGTGGCATTGACTGCACCTCAGACCTTTCCAATTCTGTGAACTATATATCATAAAGCCACTTAAAGTCATTGATTAGCCTAGCTAATCTGCATGACTCACATCTCCTGGATTTTACTGGTATCCATTGGTAGAGTTTCCATTTGGAATGGTCCTTTCAGAAGTTTTTCCTAAAGCAGCAAGAACTTTAAATATTATGGAGCACAATGCTCTTATTTTCAATAAACTGCAGTTCTTTTTGCCAGATAAGAGCAGAAAGGGTACCTCAAATCAGCTCTCTACTGAGCTGCTGAGCTGAGAGAGGTGCTATGTGAATTGTATTTCGAAAGGACTGAGTAACCTTGGGATGCAGTGCAGTGGTTCATATGTGCCTCACTTTTAAAAGCTGAGGTAACAGCTAGCGCTGGTAGTAAGCAGCTGAATATTTTCAACTGAGATTTCCACTAAAGCCAGCGCTCTTCYCAGAGGCAGCCAGTTGCTAACTGAGCTTGCTGAGCATGAGACTCCCAGCAAGGCACTGCGGTGAGGCATGGACRGGAGAACTGGTATAGCCTCACCATACAGAGCAGAGTCTCCGAAGTGTTGCTTTGGCCAATTACTTTTATTAACATCTTCCTTGATCCTGACCACCCATCATATCCTGTGCAGGAGTGTTACACATGTGAGCATCAGTTGTGTCAATATGATGCTTCCTGACAACAGCATGAGTAGGGATGTACTCTCCTTGGTCTGTTCTGCCTTGGGATACTCCTTTACTGGGTATGTGATCAGCCAAGTCTCTTCTGACTTTGTTGTTACTCTGTGATTATACATGGGAAGTGTGCAAGTTGCAGCGTGAGCTCCCAGTGTAAAGGGAGAGGTTTTAAATTGCAATCCCAAAATGAAGAAACCATCAAGCAAAAATGCTCCCTAAATGAGATGATGAGAGTGAGTTGTTATGTTACAAGTGGGTTTTGGAAAGGGTGACTAACAAAACCAGCACCTTCCCCTAACTTGAGTCTCACCAGCCAAACGAAGGCATATCTCTGGACACCCTTCTTCTCCTCATGTATCACAGTGCCTTAATCTGGAAAGTAAGTGCACACATCCTGTGAATAAAATCCACTAAGCTTCATTGCTTCACCCAAGAGGAGCAGTCGTTTATACGATTTCAGTGTAGAACAGCGTGGTGCAATTGTTTGTGGCCTGCGTTCGTCTGGAAGTGCTGCCCAACCTGCCAAATGAACCAGGAGCCTGGCATACTTTCCATGGTTGGTAAATGCCAGGCGATACATAAACCACGGTTGTCAAATGCAAGTAGGCAATGAAGGCAGCAGCAAGGTTGAAGAGATCAGTTTGTAAAATAGGCAGGTTTTCTTCTTTCAGCAGTCTCCTCCCTGTTGGTTACCCACAGCCAGCACACACCGGTACCTGAAGCAGACCTGCTTGAACATGTTTTGTCTTTCCTAATACAAATGTGGAAGAATGGATCTGCACGCAAGCATTCCAGCCTGAGAAACAAATTTGAAAAAAATTGCTACAATGCATTGACTGATTTCTTGCCAAGACAGCTACTGAGAAGCTTCTTGATCCATTCTTGTACTGAGAAAAGTAGAGAGGGGACATACGTACCTTCTGTAATTAAAAATTAAAACTGGTCTGTTCCCTGCATGCTGTATTTCCTCAAGGGGGAGAAAAGGAGTACCTTTGCTCTGCTTTTCCTGCTTGGTGTCAGCAAAATATTGTGAGCATACAAGAGTATTAATTTTTGTTCTCAGCATAATGGTTTTCTTAGCACACCAGGAGTTAACCATAATTAAAGTTGTGAAAAATGAGAGAAGAAAGAAGGGACAGCCTTTTATTTTAATAGTATATAAAAGGCATAAAGATAAAACCATGATTTCCCTGAGCAGAAGAAAGAACCATAGGCAGGAGGTGAGCAAGACAACACTCCCGGGTGTGGTGGAGAGATTATTGAATTAGTTGTGAAGCCAAAACCTCTGCGTGCATGTGTGTGTGTGTGTGTGTGTGTGTGTGTGTGTGTGTGTGTGTGTGTGTGTGTGTGTGTGTGTGTGTAAAATATCTGGCTGTTTCAAACTATAGAGGCATGACAGCTGTGAAAAAGGAGTGCCGCGGGGAATACTTTTAGAGTTTGATTTTTTAAAAAATATGTTTGACATGGAAAATGTTTTAGTACAAATAAAGCAACTGGTATTGAACTTAAAAAGTGTATGTGGAGGGGGAGGGAGAAAGAGGAGATAGCTGTGTGGAACAGGAATGAATAATTCATGATATTTAAAGAAAGAATGCCTCCAAAATGTTCTGCAAGGCAGTCCGTGCTGATAACTCAGATGGTTATTTTCCCCTCCATTTAAGTCATCATTAATTCAACTTCTTTGTATTTTTTTTTAACCTTGTAAGATATTTCTGAGAAGCATTATTTAACTTAGCTTAGGATCTTACTTATTCAGATAATTTCGTATAAATATCAAAGAGATGAGTAGAATTATTTAACCGTAAAGAGACAACTTTAGTACTGTAGGAAAGGAATCTAGGGGTTTATGTGGCTTTTTTAAAGGAGAGGGATTTTAAAAAAAAAAAAAAAAAAAAAAAAAGCCCCAGCATCTTTGCAAACTAAAATCAACCTCATGGAAGGGAGAAAATAAGAGGAGATATTTTGAACATTACTCCATAGGACACCAGTACAATATAGTGTTAGTGAATGTGTTGTAGCAGAGCTTCATATGCAATCAGAAGCCAATTGTTACTGGACTGTGTACAAGCGCATACTGTGCTCAATGGTCTGATGAGGTATTATGGATATGATGCAAAGAGACCTTGTGGATTAGAAATGTACGATTTATTAAAAAAGTGAAACAACAGAACATTTAGACTGAGCTGAATACAATAGCACTTCAGGTGTTAAACAGGGAGCTGTTAAACAGCTGAGTGATTGTAAAGACTTCAGGTACTATGTTTTCTTTGAGGGGGTGGACAAAAATCTCACTCTTGTAGTGTCCTCACTATTTCAGATTTCTGTCTTTTCTTCCACTATTACCTACTGCTTTCAATGTGGGAAAAGTTCACACAAAACAAACTGATTATTGTAAATTTCAAAACCGTGCAGCGTCAAGAAGAGCAGCCTGTTAAAATGTAGCCTTCAGATAGTACATAACACTGACTTCAAAAAAGAAGCTTGAGTCAAAGCGATCCTCCATTAAAGCATGGTTATTGTGTAATCCATCACTTGATTAATCTTTATATTGCAGATTCCAGTGCTAAGCGATTCCGGCATTCCTTCATTGTTTGCACTGACTCAGAGCGAATGGCCTGGGCTACACGTTGCTGCCACGACTCGGAAGTGGCAACACCCATGGATGCTATGAAATATAAAGTTGCAGTGCCTATTTTAGTGCAGTAGTATTCTTTATTTTCCAGAGTATTTATTGTCCCTTCAATGCAGAAGGCACGTACCTTTCGTTACCAGTGAACAGAACACAGACGTTTTAGGCTTTCTAACTCTTCACCTTGAGTAGGGACCATACACTTAGGAGCCAAATAGGATTAGCTTTCAGACTCTTTAAAAGCGTTTGAATTTGTCCTTTGTTTATGGCTACCTGAAGGGAATTGTTTCAAGACAGAAAACCTCAGAGCAAAAATAAAAACAGAAAAATCTTCAACCTGTGCTGAGGAAAATAGGCCCAGGAAAGAGCTACTTGATTCCAAGAAGGAATCACCTTGTATGGGGCTGATATTTCTCAAGTTAGAACAGATTTGTGCTCTCCTAAGCCACATGTGGCATCAACTATTTCCTGCTGGGAATCACTCGGATTTTCTGGAGTATCCTGTGAGCCCGCATCCTGTGTTGCACCCACGTCCCCATGCTTGCCTGGAACATTGCTGTAGCACATGCGGAGCAGGAGTATCACAGTTAATTCTGCTAGTTTGCCTACCAGGTCTCTGCTAGCAAAAAGTTGCAGGGGAGCCCGGCAAGCCTGTGCCCAGCTCCGCCTTTTGTTTTCGCAGATGTTTGGGCTTAGGGGAGTGCTGGAGAGCCCCAGCAGCAGCGGGGGCCCTGTTTGTGCTTGTCGGCCGCTCTCTTGTCAGCGCTCATTGTCTGAACCTGTGCGCATTGTTCTCCCACAGGTGAGAACTACCCGGTGCAGTTCATTCCCTCCACGATGGCAGCTGCTGCTGCTTCTGGACTCAGCCCTCTGCAGCTCCAGGTATGTGCCAGAACAAAAAAATGTGGGACGTCGGCCAGCATGTTAGGGGGAAGCTGCAAGCCAGCTGTATGCTAAATAATAGTCTGCATGTTAAATAATTTTTTTGAGCACAGCCCAGGAGGATTAACACCTTGTGTACTTACGGCACTGCAAATACAGCATTCTGCCGCCAGCCTGGATACTTGGAGCAGAGGACTTGATACTGTGTATTTCAGATCAGTGAAGTTAATAATATTTTTTAAAATTATATGACCACTTGTCAGAAGATATGTTCAGGGATCTTTCCCACTTTGTTTTCCTTCAGGCTTTTCCCTCTAGCTGCATAGTACTATCTTTAGTTGGGGCAGAGAGTGTAGCTGAATAAATGTGCATTACTGTGTGGAGTTTTTTTTTTCTTTTTCTTTTTCTTTTTTTTTTTTCCCCAGACAGTGTGGTGTTGACAATACAATAAATTGCAAACTCTTTTAGCTTCTGTATTTAGGTAATCTTAACTTTCCATGTATTAAGCTGGTCAGATGCCAAACATGGTCAGGAGCCTTGGTTTGGTCATTTATTTGTTTTTGGCATAAATAGCACTAAATGTTGTGAAAGAATGATTTATGTGCCATATTATTAGCTAGCTTTTTGTGGCAAGAAGTTTTTAATTTCACAAGAAAAGACACAACAATGTCATAAATAATGAAAAAGCAGTCAAAAGCTTTCAGAGTTAAAATGTGTGGAAAGCAAGTGACAGTGAACATGAGAGGAAAAGCCATTAAAGATGCATGTAACTATTTGCAAGCAAGCCTTTGAAACCCCTGTTTGAGTTAGGTTATGGTTAGCTTCAGCTTCCAAGTAGGGATAAATTGTGCCTGAAGTACAAAGTACTGCCATATTAATACCAAAATACCTATGTACCTTTGGCAATTATATCATTTGCTAGAGGAAGGGAGCATAGCAAGTTTAAAATCCTGTAGTCTTTAGCCAATGCTGATGCAATGTAGCTGATGCTCTCCTTGCGGAGATAACTTAGGGTAAGTGGACAGAACTTGCTATTCAGTGGTAGTCCAGGGCTGGCTAGAAAGACTCCTTTAACCTATGGTGACCTAAGCAAGATTCAAAGCCTGCACAGGAAATATCCTGAAACTACAGAGAACGGTGGCTGTTCTGAGGGACATTAAGACTCTATCTAAGATATCTTCAAGCCTAAAATTAAAGCGGAATTTTTTTAAAGGAACCATTGCAGGTGCCCAATTTCAGTGCTTTGAAGATTTATATTTGAATACTTGGTTAAGTTCTGTCTGCTGAAGTATTTTCTCAGTTAAAGCTATCAGTCCTGTGAACAGAGAGATGATTTTGGCTACCTTTAAAATGCAGTCAACAAGTAGTAAGCCTACGCAGGACTGTAGGGCAGAAAAGGGAAAAAAAAAATGTTCAGCTGCTACAGAAACAGAGTATAAAACTGACATTCTCAGCTCTTCTGCCAGAAGCAGTTGTAGCTAGGATTCACAAAGCTGTTTACGTACCAATCCTGTTTTAGAATCATGATACCATTTTATTAATTTGCAGAAATGATCGGCAATGCTGTTATAAGCTGCCACTACAGTTAAAGAACAAATTAACCAACAAAGTGCTGCAAATAAATTGAAAAACATCTCAGTGTTTGAGATGCCAGAATTTCCCTTTAGAGATGTTTATTTTAAAATGATACTTTTTTTTCCATTGTTTCCCATCCTTTTATTTTATTTGAATTTTGCCCATGTGGATTTTCAGAGCCTTTGTAACTAGCATTCCATGGGTGTAACACCAAAGCAATACTGTAATACTTTGGCCTTCGGGTGCTACCTGTTTATCTGATTATAAAGTTGGCTGAACTGAATTGTATTTACTGCTAGTATTAACTTTCTCTTTGTGTAATTTCCCTCAACGTTTCCTAAAATAACACTTCACTTGGGTGGATTTGAGGAAGGAAAATTGGTCTTGTAGCTGGTGCATCATGAGGCCTATTAAGGGAGTAGCCTTTCAGCTCATTTTCCATCTTTGCTTCCCTTCGCTGCTCCTTCTCCGTCCCTTTCTTCCATACACCCCAACCGCTCAGTCATCTATGCGATTCCTGTGACTGTGGTGTCAGAGGATTTCCCAACTTGTGAGAGTTCTCCCAACTATTTTTCCAGATGATGGGAGAAGCAGCTAATTCATTTGCAGCCCTGGTTTTGTGTATGGGTGTGTAAGTGACATCCATGTTTGAAGACTTGGTGAGGGAAAGCTACTTAGAATAAAAACTTATCACGAGCTGTAACATTTTAACTATACCAGCACATTCTTATTTCTTGCAAAACTATATTCCATAATCCATATGCAACTTCAGTGAAAAATCTCTCTTGTCTTCAAGATTAATTTTTTTAATGTCCTTTTTCACTTAACGTTGTTGGGGTTGCTCATGCTTCAGGTACGTGGTAGCAGCAGTTTTGTCTTCTCCGTCTTTGTGTGCTGGGACACTTTGTGTGGAAATTCTGACTCCAGTAGCCCAGAAAGCAACTTGCTCCCAGCTCCATCATATAGCAGCAGTAGCTGTCAAACACCATGCATGTTGGGATGCAGGTTTGAATAGAAAGTTGCAATTACCATGTGGTTATGTCAGTCTGTGTTTCCGAGGTGGTGGCATTCTGTGCCACCTGGGTTGGCTTTAGATAGCTTCTTTTTTTTATCTGTATACTGATCTCATGAGGACAGCATCAATGACAGTTTTGATAGAAAGCTGCTGTCACACCTCTGAGCTCACTAAAGCCACCAAGCTGCATGTGCTAGGCCCAGGCCTGGCTGCTGAAGGAGCAGGCCGCTCTGTTTGGCCTAAACAGTCCGGACTGAGTTGTTTCTGTTCACCCCTCCAGCTGCAAAGAACTGTGAGTGAATCTTGCCAGATCAACCTTCTGCCAAGCAGTTCATTGCTGTATTACCAGGCAGAGTCATAGCAGGTGTGCCCAGGGGTGTGTGAAGCAGATCTGGTGCGTGCGTGTGTGTGTGTGTGTGTGTAACAAAAGCGGGTTGCTGTAATCCATCAGCACTAAGCAGTGAAAGTAGTCAGTTATTTCCCTTTGCTCCTCTGGTTTTGGTCGCTTCTTATATCAAATTTTTCTCCTTTTCTGTTTTCCTAAGTTTTATCCCTACTTCTCAGGTGTTTGCATTGATGGTAACTTACTTGAGATATGTGTGCAGAGTAATCTGACTGAAAGACCGAGCTTGATCATGAAATGGGTTTTCCCAACTTCCATGATCCTAAGGGCAGCAAGCTGGTTCCTGGGTAGTCCTGTGGTGGCAGGGTTGGTGCTTACATGTCCTCACTTCCACCTGAGGAGTGTTACTGCATGTTCTTGTTCAAAAATCTGCTTTCATTCTTATGTACTTCTGTAAAGCAGTTGATGTGATAAATATGGAAATGTCGCAACTCTCAACCACCACTGATAAACTGTTGATAGAAATGGAAGCAGAACAATGATGCTAGCCCGAGCTATTCCTAAACAAAGTGAGCTCGAGGTTTAAAAGAAGAAGAAGAAAAGGCAAAATAGAAAAGCTTTAGTTCATAACTTTTTCCCCAAACTATTTGTGTAATTTGTCCTTTGAAATTTATCAGTTATAACAGTAATGAACCTTGGCAAGTCTTAACTGTAGTTGCAGCTGTGTTCTTGAAGCCTGAAGTTTTTATAATCCATTAAAAAAATTGAAATTTTAACTAAACACATATTTGTCTCGTCCTGTTCTCCCCTCCCACCTCATCCTGCT